GGAGGTCCTCAAATGCACCAGAGCAAAACTCACCACATCACTGTGTGTTGTGTACAGATTATCTGCCAGACTTTCCAGAGCAAGCCACTTCACTGGCAGCTTGGAAGCACAGCCCTGACGGTAGTAGTCTCCACTGTAGATTTTCTTAGAAAGCCCGAAGTCTGCAACACTCACGTTCATGTTCTCATCCAACCTAAAGGAAAGTTTTAATGACTAAGAAAAGCACTTACTGGCTACCTGTCTGGCCAGGGAACTGAGGTATATAGTTCACAAAGTATTGCCCAGAAGGATAATGATGTCATCTACTTGATGACCAATGTGAAATAGGTTAGTGGTCTCAACTCAGTTACTTGAGACTAACAGGGAGATAATTAGGACTAAGGAAGTAAGGAAATGCCATGCTCAGCCAAAGTGAACTCAGATACTTTCTGTAGTTTCCAAGATTAAGAGGGGACATCTGTAGTGCTCATTACTACCACTAAAGCCTACACCCTGTATAGGCAAGCAAAAAACATAGGTGCTTGCCTAGACTGCCTATTACAACTGCTCAAACTAGATCTGCAAGATCTTCTCTCCAGGCCTGGTTAATGGTCTGAATTGCTCTGTCACCCACTTAAACCTAGACATGTTGGTAGATACTGCAAGTAAAGCTCACAAAGACTTCATGCTCCCAGGTCTCACAAAGGACTCCCTGCTTTTCCCAGAAGATATGATGAAATAGGCATTCAGCTTCCTCTGAAGGAAGTCTGTATTTTTTTAAATGTTTAAAAATAGGAAATCAGTATGCGTTTCTCATAAATGTCAAAGCAGGCTAACCCATCGTTTTTCATTATGACTATCAGGCTCCTGTCTGTACATCTGGACATTCAAATGCCTTTGGAAATCTGTGTCTCATTGCGGATTTTACCAGTTGTCGTGGTTTTGTTCAGAGGCAGAGTTCTGTCTGCCAGAATGGGTTGTTCCTTACTCTGTTCTCAGGGAAGCAGCAGAGGGGAAAGGATAAAAAAGGATTTTTCTTCCCTTCAAAGCAGGCAAGGCAGTTTGGGGACAAGAACAGCAACGTGGGATCATACAGCGTGTTCACCATGCAATTATTTCTAAAGGCATTCTCCACATAAGCCATTCTTCACAAGCTTTCAGGGAAATTCTACATTTCTTATACTGTGATAATCAAGTCCTCAAAATAGATACAAGAAATACAGATTTCAGGCTACAATGAAAGTTCCTTTCTCCTAACACAGCCAAACCCATTCTCTCCTGTTGGTTACATTATATTGCAGAACAAATAGCCCATGCTGACACACAGCCATTAGAGTGACTAATTACAAACACACATATTGTAATCAACCCTATGAAAATATATGTGCAGACCAATGATGGAAAAGTTCCTTATAAATAGGGTCGATTTGGAAGCTCAGTGGGACATTAGGAGTTGCTCCCTGCCCCCAGCACCACTACCACCACCACCACACACCCCCACCCCCATGGCCATGGCTCCCCTATGCCTATTGTCACTTAAATGCAAGGACCAGCATCCTTGGACAGGATCCCTCCCCACTTCTGTCACGCGAAAGGCTTCTCATGCCTTTCTCACCCACTCTGGTCTTTCTTTTCTCTACGAACTCATGGGTCACTTACATGCAGTTCCGAGCTGCAAGGTCCCTGTGTATGAAATTTTTTGAGCTCAAGTACTCCATCCCGCTGGCAATGTCAATCATGAACTTGAGGAGTGTCTGAACAGGCAAGTTCTGAAAGAAATAACAGTTTAAGTTCTGTCCCTGGAAGCTTTCAAGCGCGTATGGCAAAACTGCAAGACTTGCTGCTAGATTACTAAGCAGGGACGGGGGATATCGGGAGGGGATGGAACGAAGGAGTTGGTCCGCAACATGCATGGAATTAAATACTTCAACACTTCAACATCACATCCCACAACTTCCTCTGGTATCAACATCTGGTCATCTGCCAATGCCTTTGGGAGACCAACCCTGAACTGATCTGAGTATATTCTCTGAAAATCCATACCCTCCCAGAAGGAATTCTACAGTAAGACAGACTTACAAAAGGGTTTTCCCCAATCCGTGACATCAGCAGAAAAGCATGAAGGTCTCCATGCTTCATGAAGGGCAGGATCACCATAGGAATTGGGAGACGGCCCTTGGGACGGCTCCGTAGACTGACTCCTAATGAGGACACACACAGCAAAGGGGTTTTAGCAAACAGATCAGTTCCAAGGGGAATCTTACAGGCTGCTTTGTCTTACAAATTTGGAAGAAAATGTGCAGTTTTGGTGGGTTGGTTCCATGCTCTAAGCTCCTTTGCATGTCTTCATGCCAGGAGGTGTTAAGATACCTCTAACCCTGTTTACTTCAGAGGCAGTACTAAGTGCCCGCTGGCTCTCAGCTCTCCTTGCAGGACTGGCTGTTTCCAGGACCACTCCAGACCAGACAGCCCCAAACCCCAGGGTCTGCAGAGCAATCTCCACGTTCTGGAAATTGCCCATGTTCCATAGTGCCCACCCATGAATGTCTCGCTTCTTACCTAGTATTTTGGAAAGGCACAATCTCCCCTCTCTCTATTTGTCTACCAACCCATCTGTCCACATTTCACAGCAGTTCAGACATCTCTCAGCCAGCCAAACTCTCTCTGTAGTACTTGCAAGAACCAAAGAAATGGCTTAAATAAGAGATGCTTATTGCCGGTGTATGAGGGCAAGTGTTGTGAGCACTTACACACACTCCAACTCCCTCTAGGCCCGGGAAGGAGCAATGCTGATACATGCAGAAGTCCAGGCAGCACAGAGGTGGCTGCACTAGCCCTGCTGTTGGACAGCGCTGAGGGTGAGTATGTGAGGCTGTGTGGGATTGTGCAGGATCAGGAGGTGCCCTGTGGTACCACAAGCAGCAGTGCTGGCTTACCAATCAGCTTAGTGACATGTGGGTGGTCAAACTCCTTCATACACGCAGCCTCTCGCAGGAACTCCTCAATGTCAGTCGAGGTGAAGATGTCCGCTGCAAAAAAGTGACTGTAAGTTTTCCTCCTTTGTGGGTGGCTCCAAGGGACTTCACAGATAATGATTATCAGAAGCTTGTTCTCTGCGGCACAGCACATCCTCTCAGACCTACAGCTAGATGAGCCAGTTTACAACAAAGCACAGCCTGACACTTTCTCCTGGGATGAGCGGAAGTAAGCACACATCAGGGACATCTGGTAAATTGATTCTTGGCAGAGTAAAGACTTGCTGATTAGCAGCTCTTTTCTCAGTAACAACTTTCCTTGGAAGCCATGGAAATCATGTGTGGGTTAAAGATGTAAGAATTAATTAGCTAAAAGGACCTAAACTACAATGTCAGGGAGAGGAGACGTAGCACAAAATTAAACAAAATGTTGAAACTGAGGAGATAGCCTGGAGCCCCTGGCTGTCATGGCAGACCTCAAGTCATCTCTGATAAGGATGGTATGAAAGATCAACGCTTTTACATCTCTGAGTCTTCTAAGGTGCTAGACCTAAGATTTCTTAATAACCACACTACTAGAGAGCTTGGATCAAATTCAGCAGTGACATACCTGAGCATAAACTTGGGAGTAAATTATTTCCCATTGCTATTACTCCAGATTTATGGAAGTATACCAATATAATCAAGAATTAGCCCAGTGGACTACTTCCCCCACTGCTGCTGCTGAATTTAGCAAGAGTCCTCCAGTCCTGCTGCAAGATCAGACTTAGACCTGTGGTGGAGTATTCACATTATGTGCTTTAGGCAAGTGATTTAAATATGATTCAGAAAACAAAAGTAGATTCCCTTTTTACAGTCAACGGAGAAAGGAAGGTGCCTCTGGAGGGTGACAGTTGCCAAGTTAGATGCCTGAAGGTAGACAGCCTGACTACACAAAACAGCTTGCAAACTGCTTAGGATTATTGTTGAAATCGGAGAAAAAGATGGAACTTACACTAATGTAGTGTACGTGTATTTAGTACAAACTGGTATTCTGTGGCAGCCAAACTCAGCTCCAGAGATAAGCGAATGTGACTCTCCTTTAAGTCAGCCACAGTTAGTTTTTGCCTTACAGGCAAGAGGGGTGAAATAACATTGGTTAACATATATTTACATATATATATGCACATACTTCCTTTGACTTATACCTACCTATTTATTGCTTTTCTTGTTACAGACTTCTGCCTGATGAACGTGTTAGTTGCCCTTGTTATGTACACTCATCAGGTGACAAATCAGAAGGGAGTTAGACTACTTACTCAAATATGCCTGACTGAGACGAGTTAGCTTGTTGCTGCATTCAGCCCAAATACTCTTCTGTTTATTCTAGGATATATGCTTGGAATATGCTAGGAATACCATCTTTCACTGCTGAATTATTAGGGCAAAGCAGACCTGTCTGAGCTGTCTATGCCACATGATGTAGTGCTGTGTTGAAGCAAGCAACTGAACGAGATCCTCTATACACAGAGGAAGCTGTAGCTATGACTTGGTTTTGGTTGCACTCACCATGTGCTAGGTGCTGTACGAGCAACTAAGGTGGTATAGGTCCTTCCCTGAAGAGCTTCCACTACAAAAAGACTGACATGAAAGGGATGGGAGACAACATGGGTAGAGTGGCTGAGTGGGAAGCTCAGAAAGGAGTAAAGAACGTCAGGGGATGTTTGCTGGAGAAAAGGACTTGTAGCATTTAATCTTTCCAAGCTCTCTTCTCTTAAGTACTTCAGGTAGCCCTGCTCCCACTTACCTTTCAGCATCTTCACTGCCACTTTCTGGAAAGAGCCATCATCTAACTTCAGTAGTGCTTCTCGAACTGACCCAAACTCCCCTGTGAAATGACCAGAGCAGGCAGTGAGGGAACACCTTCTTGTGAAGCCGTATGATTCACGGCAGGTTCACTCCAGGGGTCACTGGCAAAGAAGCTGAATAACCATAAAAAACCAGCTTCATTTTTCATTCTGCAGTTCCAGCCAGCAGCTTTCAGCATACATGTGCCTAGAAGAGGTAGCACTACCAGTAGACAGAGGCCACTGTGCTGGCTCTCCAGAAGGCAAAGGAAAACAAGAAGGAAAGAAAGTAATCCTCTACCAGATGGACAACGCAGAGTCAGAGTATAAGCTGGGATCCCAGGCAGACATTTCTGGGGAAGCCATATCATGAGAGATGAGTCTGAACGAGACTCTGGTCAGAGAGGGAGCTATTAGCTGGAGCAGTGAGTGGATGGGTTGGCTGAAGAAGCTCTCAATGCTGACAGCCGTCAGAGCTGAGTAATGGTGCCAGGACTCCACCATTTGAGACACGATTGGGCCTTATCTCTCAAAACTCAGGGAATGACTTCTATGAATCACAGCTGACCAGACAAAACATAGAACATCTACTTGTGTGTGTGTGATAGGCTAATTCACAGGAGGAACTGTTTACCGTGGTGTGTTCTCTAAGGGAGATGAGAGGAAATGCAACTGGCCAAACCCTCTTAGAATCATAGAATCATAGAATCATTAAGGTTGGAAAAGACCTCTAAGATCATCGAGTCCACCACCATGCCCACTAAACCATGTCCCTAAGCGCCTCATCTACACGTCTTTTAAATATTTCCAGGGATGGTGACTCCACCACTTCCCTGGGCAGCCTGTTCCAAGGCCTGACCACTCTTTCAGTAAAGAAGTTTTTCCTAATGTCCAGTCTAAACCTCCCTTGGTGCAACTTGAGGCCTCTTCAACTTATTTTAGCCTGAAGTGGCTTTATACCACAACATAACAGCCTCTTTGCATTAGATCTGGCTCTAGATTTGCTCTCCCTAATTTTGTAACTGCTTAACCCTCCCAAAATGGATTAATATGAGGAACTCTGGTACTGCAAAGAAGGAAGCAAAATATGGCACTCGGGACACCTACCCTAAAAGCATTATCTCTCCACTAGCTTTTCACCAGCGTCCTTCACTACTGTATGGCACATGCTTATTTCACAATAACCACAAGCAGTGGATCTGACCACAAAAGAGGAAAATGGGAAGGAGTAAAGGCATTTTGTACTGCTCTCGTATTAAGGAGCTGTTGCTCAGCTGCAGAGTCAGCAGAGACCAAGATAATACAGTCGTGCCATCTTATGATCTGTATGCTGAGCGTGGGAGCGGGGGAATAGGGCCGACAACACAGACCAGATCCTGCCAGCTAGCATCCTCCCACCAAGGCCACCCCCAGGGGCCCCACTGCAGCCAATTTCCAGTTTTGTACCTGTCATGGGGACAGGCCAGAAGGGTTGAAGCAGGATCCCAGAAACTGGCCAAGAGCTGACACTCACAAACAGACGACACAGCTGTTTAATTACTTAGCAATGTTAAGTCCTCTGAGACCACTTCTGCAGGAAGGTCATCCTCCTGCTCTGAAAGAAACGCATTTGTTCTGGGAGGGATGGAGCGGAAGAATGCTCCCAGTGGGAAAGGGCCAAAGAAAACTGCAATAAAATTACTCTTACAAATAAAGAGGAAGCCAAACACTTCAGCTTCCTTTTGCTTATGACCCCTGACTTATGCTCCTGTCTCAGTTATTGGCTTTATCATTACATGTTTTCACTTATTTCTAGAGATTGCCTTCAGTCTGAGAAGTAAGGAAGGATGATTCAACAGTTACCACACTGGCCTGTCAGTTGGGAAATCTAAATTCAAAACCACCTTTTCACACAGAGTTTCTGGGCCAATCTTTTAGCTAAAGTTAAGTGAGAAGCATCCTACCTTTACTCTGGCCATCCCTCCTGACCTGAAAACCTCAGAGAAATGTTAGGAGCACCTGTGTGGGAGATCCAGATGGAGATCCACAGTCAGAAGAGCTCCTAAGGACCTGAACTAACGAGGACAAATGTCAGCAAAATTCAGTACCTGTTCCAAATGTGCCTCTATAAATGTGCCAAACTAAAATCTGGAGTCAAACCACCCCAGACGCTGAGAATATCTGAAACGGAATCAACTTTTTTTTTGAGGGGTTGGAGTGTTTGAGGTAGATCATCTCTGTCTCTGTATTGTCTCAGCCCGTTTAATACTTGACACATGCTTATGTAAATGGAAGGAATTCTATAGCACCACTTTGTTAGTAGAAAGAGCAAAAGTTTAGTTGAATATTCCTTTGTTTAAATCTCTGACAGAAATTCACACACCAGTGAATCAACAGTACTTTGGAAAGCTGAGCATAGACTGCAGTTCATGACTCTGTAGAGCCGAATTATAGGAATGGCTTAGCCAATATCCTCTTAGTTATGCTAAACCTTTGAAATGTTTTATCGCAGCGGAAGGGAAAGTTCCATTTAAATTGCCATCTACAAGCAGAAGGAGAGAAAACAGGCTGCTTATAATTGCTTCTCCCTACTCAACAATAAAGGCAACAAGTGGGACTTTTAATGTAAAACCTTGTTCAGTTTTGCTTCTTACCTTTGCCCAACATTCTTCCCAAGGTGAACTGCTGTTCCTGGATTAGGACATCTTTGAGTTTCGTCTTCAGCTCATCACTGATCCCTACACTCTCCACTGGAAAAAAACAAAGGAAGAGTCAAATAAGCGATACTTAAATATTCTGTCACAACGTCAAGAGTCACCTGTTCTAATCTCCGTCTCCAATCCAATTCCCATACTGTAAGCAGGGAAACTTGAAAAAGACAGAGTTCCCTTCCACGTCCTCTAGCCTCACCACAGACAATAAGCCAATAACTTTCAACTACAAGAAAATGTTCCAACAGTACTGAAAGGGAGAGGGTGTGATAACACCACCCTTAAACACACCAAGAGCAACAGGAATAGAGAACTATTGTAAATAATGCTGAGAAGACAAAATCCCATCAGTCAGAAGGGACACTGACAGACACTGGTTCATACAGCTTCATTTAAGTTGATGGAGCTGCACCAGTTTTCTATGACTGGCTTTCAGACTATTTTAAGTACAGTACAAGTCTCACAGTACCTGGCTGAGAGAGTAACATAATGCCCAACAGTTTATGGTCACTAGATTTAATGGACAAACCTCTAAACCCAGAGGAGCAAAGACAGCTGGAGCATCATCCTAACCCAGCCATGCAGCGCTGCTAGAGAGAGCCATGCCCTTGCTGAACCAGGAGACAGAAATGGATCATCTTAACTCTGACCATTCGTGGGACTCAGTCTCCTGTTTGAGAAGTTACTAATTCCTGGCCTTCCAAGACTGATTTATTGGTTCATGCTTGTAGCACAGCTCAGCACACTGAGTTTAAAGTGTACTGCTAATATTGTTAAGCCATATTTATCTCACTGTTGCATAATATTACAGTCAAAGGAGTCCCTGTAGTGTGAAACTGGGGCAGGGGAGTGGCGAATTTATGCCGTGCACTAATATACACAATGACTGTAGCTGTAATTAGCAAGTGCTATGTAATTGGTATGTCAACAGCAATTCTGGCCTTTCACCTCTGCCATTCACAGTGTCTAAGCCTCCTTGTAAATTAATCCCATGTTCTTGATCCAAAACCATCAGTTTCAGGGAAAACAAAGAGAGAGCATAGTACATGCATGAACACAGCTTCTCAGGCAGAATCACTCAGGTCATTTTACTTACACGTTGCTTCAATGAGCTCTGGGCCCTCCCTGTTGAAAGACCTGGCAGCTCTGAAATGGACTGCTGGATCCCCTCTGCCAACCACACTGCCAAAGGCATGGCTAGAAGGCAGAAAAGACACACAGGGGCATGATCACAAGGGCCATTCACTTCTAAAAGGGTATGCTGAACAGTATGGATGATTTCTCACGCCTTGCCATATAAATACTACAGACTGTTTTGTTAAAGAGGGTGTAGCTGGAGAGGAGGAACGATGGGTTTATGCTGCTTTGCACCTAGAGGGGGTGGGAACCTTCCGAAAGAGGGGAATCGCTCGTCCCGAGTGCCTGGGAGAAGCTGCAGGTTGGGGCAGGTTGCAAGAGTGACATAAGCAGAGACGCTGCTGTGAGAGGGAGGTCTGGGAGATTCTGAAAAGAATGGGAACCTTGCTTGCAGCAGGGAGCAACCCACAGCCAAGTGTCAGAGGTGATGGAAAGGAGACTTTCCTGGGGATCCAGAGGGCTCTGGGCAGTCAGGAAGTTACAAGCAGCTGCTAGACTGAAAACCAGCAAGGGAAAAAGGGCCCAGCCCATAAGAACACAGAAGCTGATTAATCTGTGGGTCTTTTCTCTTTGAATCTCTTAAGCAGCAGTGCTATGGACTTACAGAATTACCCTGATGTAGTTTATATTTCCATATTCTAATACAGCCCAGCTACTGACATAACATTTTTTCTACTGTATTTTTGGTGTTCTCAAGTTGAAGAAAAGGTAGGGCACTTTCCTGCTAGTCTCTAATCCAGGGTCACCCCCAAAATTGTGAAAAAACAATTATCCAAAGAAAGTGCCAAAAGTACTCAATCCACAATGCTTTTTGAAAAATAATTGAGTCAGAAACCACACTGGAGGAGAAAGCAAAGATCTCTCTAACCGGCACAAGGAGAACCTCCCTTACCCAAACCGAGTTTCCTTTCTTCTTTTCCGAAGGAGAATAAGAGCCAAAGCAACAGCCGTGACCAGAGCTGTGAGAATGCCCAACGCCACAGGAACCCAGGATGTCCCATAAGGAGGTTGTCTCTGGCCACCTAGATGATGGAGAAAACACCAGTCAGGAAACAGAACACTGTCAATGGTAAACACACCGTACTGGGATATTTCTTCTTTTTGCTTTTAAATGGAAAAGCCATGCTGCTGGATCTGGTGTACACAGTGGGTCACTGTACACTGGAATTTGGCATAACCAGCTACTCAGTCAATCACCAGAAAAACTAGCTGTTTCACACAGCAAAGGCAGAGCAGATGCATCCAGTTATCAGAACCTATTCTTAGTTTTGAGCCTCAAGAAAGTAAAAGACGCTGCTCCAGATTATACTACTTTACATGAGCTCATGATGTGAGGCGCTTTAAACTGGAGTCTCAAGACAAAAAGGTTGCTTAATATGAGCATCTTCCGTGCAGGTTCCACCTTGTTCTGTTTGAGGTAGCCAGCAGAATCTTGACCAGGCTACACAGTACTGCCTGAATGCCAACCAGATAACATTTTGAAAGACAATAGAGAAAGACAATTGCCTCATGTCAATCTGGTTGAAAATATTTACATTTCCCCTCTCAGCCCTCCCACAAAGAGAAGCACCCTGTGGGACTTTGTATTGGCTGTAACTTCCCAATGTTGGTTGGCTGTAACTTCTCAATGTCTCTCTACCAAAGAAAAGGTGAATTTTAAAAACTGTCAAGAAATAAGTTAGCCAGCATGCAGGTTCTAATTCCGGTCTAATATTTGCTCCCAGAATATGTATACTTTTGACTACAAACTGCCTTCAGATGAAATGGAGATGCTGCCAATCTGAGTAAGCTGCCAGGGAAGGAAGATAAGCAATATGGTTGTGAATAAAAGAATATTATCTATGCTTGGCAAACAACAGATGATAAATTAATCCAATTCCCTGAGAAACTTCTTCTCTAAATACAATTACTAAAGATTAAACACGAGTTTGAATGCGTTTATTAAAATCTAGGATAGCCCTCATATCTCCAAATTGTTTCAGAGCAAACAAGAACAGGTAACAGGTCCCTAAGCACTTCCTTCATCTTCATGCTCCCTTGCTCACCTTCAGCAGTTGACTGTGCTTTACCAGAAGCTAAGGAAGAATCATCTTTGACAATGTAAGTAATCCTATTACGTTATATGTCATGAGAGTGTAAGTAAACCTGTCCTTAAAAGAGGTGTTAGGTTAATGGGCTGAGATTTGGATGAACCTCTGCATAGATGTATGTGAAAAGGAGTCGGACATCCTTACTGGCAGAGTCCTGGCAGGTAAAAGGCTTCTAAGGCTTGACTACTAGTTACATTGTCGAGCCTTATCATCCAAGTTTTTAAAGAAGCAATGTTAGTCTAATAAACAGAGCTTAAGGAAACAGAATTCTGGACCATTGAGGAAGCAGACTACTACTTCTCCACTTGAAACAATTATCAGAGCTTTAGCACCTATCTTCCAGCATCTTATCTCCTTCAGTGACTCACATATTCTTTTCCCACCCAGAAGGCTATATAGGCTCTGGGGTTTATGATACTCCCTCTTGCTGCGCCTTTGACGTGACCTTCAAGGCTCCTTATGAGGAGGAAGAGGGATCAGAAACAGAAGTGGAATGAAAATACAAAGAAAGGTAACTCCAAGCTTCTCCACAATTCCCAAGCCAATCACTTGGGCTGCTCCTGCCAAACAATCAGGGCAGAAACAATTAACAACACTGATGAAAAAGGTCCTCTCTGACAGTTAATAAGGTTTCCTTCCCCCTACAGTGAGGCAAACCTCTCTCGGCCTATTTTTCTAGTCTCTGTTGGCTGGCCTGGTGAGAGAGCAGGGATTTAGGTCACCTTCTGGGGGGTCCCTCCAAAAGGAGGATGGATGAAAACAAAACAAAACTAAATTATTCTCCCTGTTTCTAAACTGCTAGGAATTAGGAGCCCATCCCACAGTTTATAGCAAATGTGTCAGAAATAGAAATGAATGTCGAAATTCACTGCTTCTCCTCGTCTGCCCCACAGATCATTGCTTCCCACTTGTGCCACTGAGCTAGAGAGAATGGCTGCAGCCCAAGTAAAGACCAAGTTGCCTCTCCTCCCCCAACTCTGTCTCTCTCCTATCTCCCGTACTCCCCTTTTCCAACCGGCACATGCCTTAAGACTGCACAAGGCAGAGAGAAGACAGTATTATTAGATGAGCTTAAATGAGTATTTAGGAGTCCTTTGATGATGAGAGAACCCCTTTTATTTCTGTAGCAGGTTTTATATCACAACGGTGTGCAAAGAACGTAATCAAAGAGTCTTCTCCTGCGCACGATCATGAAGATTACAGATAGGGAAAAGCTATTAGACCATTCTGTTCCTCTGTGTGCAATGAAAGAGCAAGGTTTCTACTGAGAATGTTTCTAAAAATATTAAAACAATTGTTGTTAATAGTGCACAAGATCTCTGCATAAGCAGGGTGGAGCTCCCACCTCAGCTTTGCTGAGATGATAAATACGACTTAAAGTTTATACAAGCTTAGTCATCCTTACTGCTGCACTGGGAGCTGGTCAGAAACCACCCCTGGCATTTCTCACATCAAGCAACCAGTGCCAGTTTGCTATTTTAGGAAAGGAAGCGACTTATATTTTCTACCAGGCCTAAAACAAAACTGCAGTCTTTCTGCAGCTCTGCTGTTCGAGGCCTGTTAGTGTTTCCACAGTGAACCTTTATTTCCAGCCTGTTATGCTTGTGCTTTCAGACAGCATTTGGCCAAAACAAGCACCACTCCTGACACTACTTTTTTGAAGTGGTTTGTAAATAAAAACAAGCAAACATTTTGTGCTTTCAGAATTATCCCATTCCAGCTCCCTCTAAAATGCAAACCTTATACATTCCCTGGGGCTTCTTGCCAGTGTTGGCCATTTTCCAAAGGGATCTTCTAGTCCTTTCAGGTACCCTTCTCTGTATTTGGGTGCCAGAGAAAATAACTGAGCAAAAAGCAGGAGAAAAAAATTGATGAAGCCGATGCCCAACCTCTAGTAGAGTCAGCTCTGGACCTCCGCACCCCTTCATTCTGCTTTAAATAATTTAAGGGCTTTGATCTCACACTGACTGTGTGCTCACACATAACCATCAGTACTGACTTCATCACAAGAACCAGGTTGCCAAAGGGCCTTTCTGAGTAACGTGCACATTAAAACCAGCATTAGTTTTAAGTAATAAGGCTACTTGTAACCAGTTCTCTCCCGGTTACTCTGCCCCTATCCCCCACCTCCTGCTTGCCTGGGAACCCCACTCTAGGTTCCCCCTGCCATCCCTAAGTGTGGAGGGATCAGGAGGGATCAATGTCCATGTGATTCTTCAAAAGACATGCGGGTTGGGAAAAAAGCAGCAGCAGATGGGTCAGCACCAGAGATTAGAGATTGCTGTCTCATCCTGCCACAGGCGCTGGGAACAAAACCTCAGGAGACTGTGGGATTTTTGCACGATCACACTTCACTGACTTCTTATCACCAATCCATATTTTTATTCTGAACATCTTCCTCTTACTTGTTTTACAGTTTCCTTCACAAGCAGCATTCTTCTCTCCCTCCTACCCATCTCCCCATATAACATCCTGCCCTTCTCCATAGCCTGACTCCCATTTCCCATTCACACAAACACAAGCAGCGAGCAAACCAGCGAGCAAACCAGCGCAGATGAGCCTAACTGGCCTTTATCACTAGGAATGCACTCCACACACGCATGTTCTTTGCTCCCGAAAACCCCTTCCACGTGGTCCAGATTGCATGCTACAGCTTCTGTACCATCATCTCCCTCTTCTACCAGTAGCTCAGCTTTTCCATGGAGAGAACTAAACTGGTTTAATATAAACACATTCAGTAAAACCATTACAAAACCCCCTGTGGCTGCGGTTTAAATGAGGCTCCACTGAAACTAGTTAGGAATGGCTTCAAATTAAATCAAAGAAGAGAACTTATCTTAGAGGAGTTTTTTGTCACATTTACTCTTGTAAATGTGTGTGGCTTAAGCCTAAATGAAGGACTTCAAACTTTCACTTGCACCTTTTCTGTTGTGTCTCCCCTTGCCCTGCTCCGCACTAAGCACAGCAAAAGCCCATTAAAGAAGACAGAGTAGTGGCCAGAAGCTGTTTTGTTTATACCAGCTCTTTAAATATTATTTAATTTCTACTCTGCCTGATGAAGTGTGCTGTTGTATAAAGCCACATGGCTCAGTCAGCTGTAAGCACTGAAAGGAGGAGAGTCAGAGAAAAACAGCAGTCCCAGCACTTCTGACTTTTTTCCCCAAAGTGAAGAGAAGGCAGTGGACACTCACCCATGACCTCTTGGGCTTCAAGCAGGAAGAGGTCACTCCAGGGCCCGCATCCTGCAGAGTTCAGCACGCACACCCTGATGATCAGGTCTTTGAGAGGATTCCATGTTGTGAGATTAGCTTTTGTATCCTGTACAATCATCTCCCCCTGAGAGCAAACGGCAACAAACTGTAAGCTGTCTTAAAAGGAATCTAGTCTAAAACTTCACCTTTAAAACTAAACCAAAATATTACTGCGTACTTCATTGGTGCTATAACAAGGCTTGGGAGTTGTGACTCCTGCGTCCTAGTCTCAGTTTTGCCACTAACTTGGGCTGTCATCTTGGGTTTCTCTTCTCAAAAATTGCTAACAGCTTCCCAGGGCATAGGGAAGATATGAGGTTTAATGATTTCCTCCTCTGAGGTCCTTCCACGAAAGTTACTATAGAAATGTTTTTTTTCCTGCTATTAAAAAAATACACCTCCTTCTTGTGGTTTAAACACAAAGATGCGCTAACGTACTGGAAAGCATCTGACAGTTTTAATCCAAGGGAGTCTGTGTTTTAACTTGTTGACCAAATCCCAAATGGCTTCTGAATTTCACGGCCAATTTTCACTTAGGATAGAAAGGCCAACACATTTTCAGTAACTTTGTGGATCTTCTTCATACACATCATTTGCAGTAAACCCAGGAAGATTTGGCTGCCACCACCAACACAATGTAAATTCAATGGGAACTCAAAATATTGTCATTCAAAGTCAATGACGCTGACCTAGTATGAAATGGGTCACGGAAAAAAGGAAATAAGTCTCTTTTCCCTCTAGCTGTCTATTATTACAGGCTTGTTCATCATTAATAAGCACTGGCTAAATACATATTAAGAAGCAAGAAACCGTAAGAAATGCTGTGAACTTCAAAGGCAGATAGATACCTGGGAAAGGTCAATGCTGAAGAACAAATGAAAAGCCTTCTACCCTGACACGGTCCTTTCAAGTCCCTACATATTGTAAACGAAATAAAAGAATCCGCAACCTTCTTTCTGTGATTTACAGTATAACTCATTCACTTGTTAAATACACCTTTGCTGCTAGGATTTGGAAGGCCAAGTCCCAGTCACAGGAGAGAGAAAGCCCAGATCCTGCACTGTCTGAGCTGCCTTTGGGACAGCACTAGAAAGAGGCAGAGACGAACTGAATTCTCTCTATGTTGTCCTTGTTGTACAAGAACGGCAGAGAACTGGTCTGTGCGCAGAGGAACATTCAAGTGAAGGAATTCTGAATATGCCAGGAAGGGAGAAATGGGCCTAAATCTTGAGGCCAACTGAGGAGTTGTGGCAAATCAGAATAGATCCATTTACACACAAACAAGGCCGGCAATCTAGTCTCCTGGTACGGATATGGGATGAGGGACCCTCAATGCCTAGAAAATTTAATATGAGCATTCTCCAACTCTGTGCCCAACGGCTCAGCTGCCTTCTCAATCTGTTACCTGAGTTACATTATCTTGAATCCATTCCAGCCTGTATCCCAGGACATTTTCTTTCAGCACGTCTGGAGCTACACCTTCCCACTCCAAAATCAGACCGGGATCTCTTTGGATAACATGGATATTTTGTGGGGTGCTGCTTGGAGCTGAAAGCAGAGGACAGAACACAGTCACTCTGTGCAGGAAAATAAGGTATTATCCACACTGAAAATGGCTGAAAAGACAGTTTCACCCTCTTTCCTGAGATCAGCTGGAGGAGAGAGCATGAAGCTTCTGCAAGCCACCAGCACCATGTTTGCTTCAAGTGGAGAAGATAACATTGGTCAGCATCTCTTGTTTCTTTCTGAGACCCCAAGAATCTCAGAAAGCCAATGGGACATATGCCCAGCATGCAGAATCCCCGTGGCTGGATCAACTTGTGCACCGTGCATCATTGCTCTTAACCACATTTGACTGTGTATTATTATTTTATGTTAGGTGTTAGGAGACCCTTAGAGTGGACAAGCAATCTGACAGTATAACATTTCCTGCATTTCAGAATTAGCAAGGAGGAGTTAAATGAAGTTTGTCATCGTCTCTTTTTCAGATTCAGAACTGCATTCCTGTTCTTGTCTGCTATTTGCTTACCAAGCTCCAGGGTCTGGAAATAAACCCTGTCGGTGAAAGGGGAGCTGCCCATCTCGTTGCTGCACTGCACACGAACACTGTAGTTGGTGGAATGCTTCAGGCCTTGCACACCATAGGCAAAGGGGGGCACTGGGGTGACTTCAGTGGAGACCTCCTGACCGTCTGGTGACTCCGCTACCTGTGCCAAGAGAGAAACGGAGAAAACTGTTACCCTAAGCCATATGACTAACAGGTCCGGAGGGGTAAGAATCCATTTCATGGTTAGTTTTGGAAGGTGTAGGAGCAGATATGGTACCAATGGTGTTTATAATACTGAAAAGGGAGTTGTCAAACTAAGAATCATGAGCCATGCCTTTATTTGGTTTAAGTGACATCACTCTCCTAACTCTGGCAGTACAACAATTTTCCACCAGCTGAAAATTTGGTTCCATATTTTAAAAGATTTCCTTAACTATGTTATAAATTGTACAGTTGATTATTACGTCCTTTAAAGAAAACTAAATGTGTTTGTTGCTTTGAGTGCTAGTGGCTGGCTTCTGAGGCGTGTCTAAACTTGGGCAAAGAAAATTGGTAGATCAACTTTCCTGTTGCCTAGCATCACCTTTTTCTCAACTTCTTTTTCAGAAGTTTGTGTATTTTCAGTTTTGTAGTGGATTAAAGACATGGTAGACACTGGTGGCTTGGTTCAACTAAACTGTTTCAAATTAAACTGAAAAGAAACTTTTTACCACTCCTGCAACTCTTCTCTTTTTTTTTTTTTTTTCCAAATCTGAACTTTTAAGCAACATGAATGTTAATTTCAATCTGATATCACTGTGTGCTTTTAATGCACAGACAGGTTCAATGTTCCTGCTTTTGTACTGACAATAGCAGAAATCACTGCATAGCTCCCAGGCTCAGCCTATCTTTCTTCTCAAGTGCATATGAAATAGCAAAGCTGGGAGTAAAAGCAAAGTGTACTGACAAAAGTGAAACACTCATGTGGACTTTATATTCTTTATCTAGCAGTCTTTCTCCCTTTCTCCTTGCCCTTCTGCTCATTCTCATGCACACTTTTGGCCCACTGATTTATTTGGCTAATAAAAAGGAAGAATCTCAAGTTTCCTTAATAGAAAAGCATATTGCTGTCACTATCAGTGTCATCCAAAGCAGGGGAAAAACAAGCAAACTTTTGTGTAAAACCCTGTCAGTTTGATGATGTGTTTCTGTTCAACAGTCTGAAGAGTCGGGGCTCTTACATCTGCTCCCTTTATGCCCTGGAACATGGCTTGTGTTAACAGTGAGTAAACACGGCGAGTCCCTACCCTGTCCCCAGAAGCAATCTGCCTGTCTGAACATGGTGCTCTTGGGGCACCCGCTGCACTTCCCGAGTGCCAGAAAACCACAGCCAAGTTTCAATCCCCCTTCTCATTCTGGGAGGCTCCGAGCAGAAGTGCAATCGTGGGGAGCCAGGAGCGTGTGCATTTTCACGTGGAAATGTGGGTCAACGTCTCTCACAAAATCTCTCAGTGTGGGAGACAGAGGAAGCATGGCTTTCTGTCAGTGGAGGGTTACTGCCAAGTTACCCTGCTCCCAGATCCAAACGCAGGAACTTCGTCCTCAAATAGAACAGAAAAGGCTTAGAAAAGGGGTGAGAGACTGCTGAGTGGACAGAAACTGAGCTGCTCTGATTCAGTCTCTTTTCCACGTGCCCCATCCCCCCCACCCCTGCCCCTGCCAAAAGTGAGAGGGGGAACTCAAAACCCAGGGTGATTAGCATTGCAGCATGCAAGCCAGAGAGAATAGGCTGTTCCAACTGGAGATAACTCGCATTGTAAAACGGAGGAAGAAAACCATTTTCGAGTGCGAACAAGAACAGAAGCAGCAACAAAACCCAGAGATCGGGGCCAGCTATATTCATTCAGGGATTCTTTCTGTCAGTGAGTTAAAACAAGATATTGGTTTCTTTTACTTATGAAAGGGAACAAACATCAGAGCATGAAATCTCTGGTTACCTCCCCAAATAAAAAGAGGACTAAAAGTAAATTAGCTAGGCTGCTTCCAGCATACCTTGTGTTTATAATCCTCCTCTACATAGTTGGCAACACCCCATAGAAATTCTACTCCAGCTCACCTGCTGCTGTAATCAGGTAGGGTTTTTTCAATATTCACACCTGGCAGATAAATCTATGGGGAATGTGCCTAGCTGTGTTTGCATGGCCTGCTTCAGGAATCACCATTTCTTTTTGACACTGAGTTACCAGCTGATTGATCTGATTTTACAGTTAAGCATCCAATGCTAGAAACTAACTCTGCTTGAAGTTGAACACGTAACATTGTTTGCAGGAACCTAACGAAGCAGTCCAATTTTTCAGAGATGTTGAGTACTCAGCACCTGGTAGAGCTAAAGGATATTATCACCATTGATTTTCTGGGCAGAATTGGTCTTTGACAATGGAAAACCAATCAAGATTTAGAGGCAGGGCTTAAAATTACTTTGCGAGACGCAAACAGGCCTGACTTTGTATCAAAAAGCCCAATCTGTCTCCTGCCTCCATCACTCCTACCTTTTCTGTACCACATCCTATACTTTGCAAGCTCCTCATCCCCTGGGCTCACTGGTATGTCCGGATCCCAACATTTCCTCTGGCAGCACAAAGCACGGGGCTGAGCTGGCACGGGAGTCACAAGCCACTGCACTGCACTAGAACAAGTTACCATGGGCCAGCTGCTCCAGGTTAGCAGGACGCGTGAGCACCCTGCAGCCACCCAAGGGCACTCCCCATAGAGCGATACGTGCTTCACAGTGTACGACTTTGCACGGAGCAGCTGCCACAGAGCAACCGATGTGATAACCTGCCGGGAGGGAGAATGGGGCCAGTCTCAAATTCTCAGCTGGACACTTCATGCTCAAAACTGGCCCTGCTGTTCAGCACCTATTTAAGCCCCAAGTTGCATCCTGTTAAATTTCCGTATTTTAGAACCGTGGAATAAGAATTCAAACACTGCTACAAAGCAGTTAGGAGAGCAAAAGATGGCCCAAGCAGTGTGGTGGCTCAGGGGAGTCCCATTCTTCATGCAGGACCGGGGACAATCCAGAGGGGCCATACCTGAAGAGTGCAAGAGTGGAGGGGTGCGCGGCCATCAAATCCTGGCACCCAGACCACGCTGGCATTGCTGCTGGTGACTTGGCTTACAGTTACATTGAGAGGCGGGAGAGGCATGGCTATAAAGGAAACAAAGAGACCTTTCAGTATATACAGAACTGAGCAGGTATTCACAGGAAAATAGCAGAGGCTTGAGGCTAGAAATTATGCAATGAAATCACTAACAGAAATGGTACAATATCACATCTTTAGAGACTGTCCCTAACTGTTGTGAATGAAACTATTATCTTAACATTGAAAAAGCTTTTGGCATCCATTCTTTAATAGTCCAGCATACTTGCTTGATGCATACAGGCAGCAGTTGATCTCTTTGATAGCAATGCCAGTGTGTGATGTTTACACCTTGGCTACTCAGCCCTCTTCCCTGCCCCCTCCATTGCAATGCATGACCCAGCCCTGTGCACACAATTGCCTGTGGACCTACATTGTGAAACAAATCAGGGCTTTAAAATTCCTCCCCTGGTTCTCAGTCCAGCTCCCGAAACCAGCTCTTCCAGCACCAGTCGAAGGATGCTTTGCTGTAGTGACCCAGAGACCCCGCAGCTGGATTTGCAATAGACCGCTTCACGCTGTGAGAGTGCTGCCTCCAGCTGTCCATCACAAACCCTTCCTCAAACACCCTGGGTCGGAGCCTGGACTGAAAACTGGGCCTCCTTCAGGCTTGGGATGAAGCACTCTCTATTTTATAGAGGGGCAATTTGAGGCAAAGGGAGTGCCTATTACTGTGGCTGATACCACACTACAAATTAAGGGCAGAGCCAGGAACAACATCAGCCATTTAATCAGATGTTTGTGCTTCCTACCACCACAGAGCAGCACCAGAGCGCTGCCCCTCCGCTCTCGCTCTGACCAGACACCTCCATCGCTGCAGGGGCCTCTAGCATGTTGCCGCATTAACCTCAGCTCTTTGGCTTCCTTTTAGGAGCCTCAATGCTTCCCTTTGCCTTCTCTTTTCCTCCCACTGTAATTCCACAGTTACTTCCTGTTCTTCCCAATATACCCCTCACCATCCCTGTTTCACTCCTGAGTCTCTGTTTTTATTTAGGCACTTCACTCGTGAAAAAATTACCAGCTTCATGAATACTAACCTCTCTCCTGACCTTTTGCTCATTTTAAAAAATCCTACGCTGCTGCCATGAGTAACACTTTTCCTGCAGCACCTCAACAAATCGTACCCTCAGGAGTCCTCTTTCAAAAACCCAATGGTCCTCAGGAGAAGGCTCTGCCTACAGACAGAATTTTCCACCTCTCCTGAGCTGTATGCAGTGAAAAGCAGCAGTGGAAAAGTCATTGCAAACCAGGATTCCTCCAGCTGCATCTTCTACTCTGCCAGAGAGCACCTTTGTCTCCCACTGCACCGAGGACAACCACAATACTGCCTTCAGCATCTCCACAGGGCCATCTTGCAGGAGGAACGCTTAGACCAAAGCCAGATCTCTACAGAGGGCCTAGAGAAGGTGGGGCAGAGAAGAGATGGTGCCACAGATTAACCCTATAAAGCCTTTGTTGTCTGGTTAACTAGTTACCAGGACTCCGGGCAGGGGGCTGCCACCTAGATAAGAACAGTGCGCATGGGTGGGAGGTGGGGTGGCAGAGCACGGGTCTGGGATGGAAGATGGGCAATGAGTTCTTTGCCTTTCAGTGAAAGGTCTTTGTGAGTTAACTTAGACTTTTCTGTGCCTTGGTTTCATTCCTTTTTGTTGTTGGGTAATCAGGTTTGTAAGCTCTTTGGGGGGAAAAGCTTGCTTTTACCGCTTACTTCGGTACCATTGAAACACTGCCCTTAACTGAAGTCTTTTGTAAACACACTCGTTAACTTTTGGGTTTAGCAACATGTAATTTTCAACACTGGATGGCAGACCCAAAGGAGGTACAGGCTATTCCACCAGTGAGAATAAATAATCAACTGCTAACACATCCACTCTGTAATGGAGACAGCCACTGAAGAGGGTCAGCTTGCGAGCACCTTCCCCTGACTCTGCAATCTGTAGAAAGGACAGATGCGGTTTCCCCATCACGTGTTGGGAAAAAATTCTGGGTGACCGTTTCCTGGCGTTTTCTGAAACGCAGGATACGACCCTAAAAGTCTTAGCTGTACACATGAAGGAGAGCAAAGCCAGTCTGAATACAGGACCTTGAGTGTTAACATAATGAGAGTTAACTTCCTCTGTACTTGTAGAGTGGCCGGAACAATGGGGCTTTGTACGCGGCGGGGGACTGTGGGCTACAATAACAGTAATTTTCTGCTTCGAGTACGCCCAGCACATTGTGGGCACTACAGAGAGTAGGTAATGAACAACAACAGCAGCAAAGAGGAAGAAATGTTAACAGTTTGTAAGTGTCCTAGAAAAAATATTTGCCTCTGCAAACACAGAAGAAACAAATTGTTTAATAGATTGTAGAAAGACTTGAGAGTCCGCATTAGCAGATGGTTCTGTGTAAGAGAGGAAGGCCCTGATCATGCATGTACGGACAACTACTCCCAGGTGTAATTTCATTGAAGTCTATGTGTTCATAGGATCAAGGACTAAATAAACATTATCTGGGCCTGCTCCTGTTCCTGCTATGTCCTTGTTAGGAGCTTTGCTTTAATTTTAACAGGGGTTGTACTAGATCTTCAAAACGTTTGCTCTTCAGAAGAGCCCCATCACTTTCCTAAGTTTATAATTAGTCTTTTAGACATATCTTCGAGGTATTACAGTTAGAACTTTTACGACTACAGCACTGGACTTGCTATTTAAAACCTGTTTTTTATCTCTAGGACATGCCACATACTGGTGCAACATTTGCCGAATCACTTAAGTTTGCTCTTCCTCAGCATTAAAAAGTGTGTGTGTGTGTGTGTGTGTGCGCACAAGTGTCTGATGGTGGTATGTCCCTCCCAAATAGGTAGCTGATGATTGACCCCTATGGAGAACTTTTGGCTAACTGTAATTGCTGGGAAATGCGAGAATTCTAAGGCCTTTACCTCATCATGGTTAAAAAGAAAAATTTTTACAATCTGTGTTAACATTAAAAAAAGAAAAAAGCTTGTTTATGCTAAATGTTATTTCAAATTATGGCTTGATGATATTTTTTAAAGCATAATAGCTTTGTGAACTAAATTCTATCCCAGGATAAAAATATCCGTAGAAGATATATTCCACAATAACTAATTCCCCTGTGTAGACAAGCCTTTAAGGCAACAACTCCAAACATTTTTAAATTAAGTTATAAATCTTAACTAGTCCAGCATACTGCATTCTTGGCATAGCAGTAACCACAATGTCCTGGAGAAAAATACACTGTAAGAGCCTTAGATCTACAGTTGGATTTTAAGCTATCCTTTAATGAATATTAGCTAATACAATTCCAAGTTCTGACACAGACATAAATGCCTGCTCTTATTCGCGCTGAGCAATAAGCTACCACTTGGAACAAATTATTTTTGTGACATGCCTCCCCTGGAACTGATAATCATGTCATTCAATGCGAATTAAAGCATGACTAAAAATTCAAATGCAGAAGCATCTCAACATGAAGAGGATGGGAAGAGCTGATTGCTCTGATTATCCCTGTTTCAGTCACCTGGAGAAACAGAGGAAACGTGACATCAACTTAGGGACTTCCAAATGGCAATTGGTCAAGCAAAGGCTAGGAATTATTTGTTTTGAATGAGTTTTTAAAGAGCAAAGAATTAAAAAAAATAAAATACATAAAAACATGTGTGGATGAACAGACTTTACTGGCCACTGGTGATCGCCTTCCTTTTTTCAGTATCTAATGTGATGCCAACAGAAGCAAGCAGAAGTAATGGCCTCTCTAGCTCTAACAAGACCTGTCTATCTCCAAGAAGGAAAGATTTCCCCAGCTACAGATTTACATCCAGTTTCATCTCTCGCAAACAATTTGACCGCTCTGACTCTCTCCCTTTCAAGGAAAAACTGTTATTTGACATCACATATCCACTCCTGAATCAGATGTGGTTTATTTTCAACAACCTGGTATACCTGGCCCTGCATAGCAAGCGGGAACTGCTGTTAGATCACGAAGCATTGTTTCGACTGCTGAGAGCTCCAACCAGTGCTGGTTGCTGGCAGCTTTGAGACAGCCCCTTGCATCAAGGAGCCCCACTTTCCCTCCCCAGAGAGCAAACCCGAGTCCCTTGCCCATTCTCTTGCACTCTCTCACCTTTAATTTGAACAGTGGCTGTCCGAGATGAAGACAATCCCTTTACGTTGTGAGCTTCGCAGGAGAAAACTGTGCTTTGATTAATACCTGGAGATCAGCCAAGAAAAGGAAACACAAACAGCTATATAATCCAGCTTCAACCTTCAGCAGAATTTCAATTATGTGTGACATCCAGCTCAAGCTGTACAGGCAATTGGAGGGCTGACTTGGGTGCCAATCAAAGGCACGTGGATTTCAATGTAATTAACGTGCTAAACATTTTTAATGGAGAGTGTGGCAATGCAGAAGAGTTCCACGGGAGCTTCAGAAAGCACTGAAAAAGAAAGATGAATCTGGCAGAACAGCAGCTCACAGTGCTCAGTTAGTAGATGGCCACTTCTCACTTTCTGGTGAGCATCTTTGGAGCAAGGATCATGCTGAACCATCTGCTTATACAACGCCCATCGCTCTGGATCTCAGCCTGCCACCTGAGCAACAACCATCTTCTAACTGGGCTATAAGCCCAGGCAAACTTCCAACCAGATGCTGCAGATTTCAAGCTAATGCCCACCTGTCTCTCACCTTGCATCAGACTTTTGAAGAGACACAAAGGAAGTGGAAGTAAAATGCTACTGCATCAGCACTGAGGCACTTTCCAGGGGTGATACAATGCAAGCGAGGATTACGCTCCCTCTCTTCTGTGAGCATCTATCCACCCCACAGGGCCTGAATGTGGCATCATACTGATGTCCGGCTGCTCCAAGACACATATAGGTATTGGTAATTAATCAGAACTGAGAGAGATTTGCAAAGCTGCCTGGAGAAGTGTGTTCAGCATATGTTTTCACTCGCTTTGGCCCTCAGTTGCCTCATAGGGCTCTATCTGAGACAAGTTAAGGATTGGCACACTATGGGCATACAGTTTAGGAGGGAAAAAGATGTCAGAGTTGCACGGAGCAGCTTGCATGGTGCCCGTCTTTGCCCTTTGATTCATCTCCCAAGCCTGAGATTAACGGCACTGCGAAGAAGGTGTAGTGGATGAGAGGAGGGACTGCTATAAAATGAAAGAGCAAAGTATTTTAGTTTTTTCCACTCAGCCTAGTGAACCAGAGGAAAGTGCTGCCAGCAGGCTGAAGGCCAGGCAGCAGAGCAGAGCAGCACCTGACGTGATAGGCATGTGCCAAAGACAGAACCAAACACCGCCCTGCCCTGAGGAAAACACAAAACACACCACAAACCAAGATCTCCTTACTCTCTAGCACCATTGCCAGCACTGCTTTCCAAATACAACAATCTTTTTACCACCACCTGCTTGGCTGGACCTTCTAAATGTTTGCTTTCTAGCCAGTACTTTATTACTATTTTTTTCAGAATTTGATACTTTCTTTAGGTAGCAATGCTTGTTTTCTTACCAACCATCTTTTTTTGACATGCTGTGGCAATCTGACCATGCAGCTAGTGTCCTGCTACATTTTTTCCATTGCAAAGACAAGATCTGCCCAAGGGACATCCCAAAGAACACTGACAGGGGCAAAGGAAGGTGCTGGTAATAGATATATATAATAGCAATTCATTTGGAGAATCACCAGGAGTAGATGCCCTTCTTCAGGCCCCCATGCCACTGCCTCACAATGACAGAAGTTTTGTGAGGCACCGTGGGATGAGTTCAGTGGAGGAAGCGAGACTTCTTTTTTTTATTGTCTTTCCCCTCTCGATGATCAATCTTTTCAGTTTCCATTTCAACAGGCAGATTATATCATAAGGGAGCAGTTTTCATTTCCAACTTGGAACAGCATCGAGTGGCTACGTAAGAGAGGGAGCAGATAAAACCATTGCAAATCACAAACCAGGTTTTGATTTACATATAAATTAAGTTCTGAGGAAAGGCTTAATAGGATTGGATAGCTCAAAGGATGGCCAAAGATGTACAGAAAGAAACTCCCCCTGGGTGTAACTGTATTAACACTGATGAAGAGGCCCCAGAGATGACTGAGTCGTAAAACCTTTTCTTTCTAAATAGCTAGTTCAACTTTGGCTCAGGGCTGCTGAGAGTAATAAAACAGCAGCAAAGAGGAGAAGTAACACAAAGCTGTTGGTCAGGACCTGGTAGGGATACATAGCCCCTTCCCTGAAAGTGGGCTGAAGGGAGGCCTGAACATCTACCGGCTCCTGAGTTCTACAGCTGACGCTGCTGAGAACGGCAGTCTTACCACCATGCACCTAGTGCCCACTCTGCGGCAAACCTTGGTCTCTGAGGATATCAACCAGCCCACTTCAGCACCAATACTCTAAAAGTGTCAAACAATTACATGAGGCGGTCAGGTTTTAACGATAAGAGCATCCAGCAAGCCTGCAAGAACAGAGAGGTGGGGAAGAGAGGAGAAAGCAGTGTGTGACATGGCTGTGCAAAGAAAGAAGAGGTGGCATCCGTTACATGTGAACACTTGGAGATTTCCAAGCCAAATGTCACCAACAGAGTCACTTAATATAAACATGAACACTCTCCACGAGGTGAAACAGAAGAGGCACCCAAGGCATCATCTGTCCAGTAGTATCTTTTCCACAGTGCCAGCCCCACCTGAGCTCTGAAGAGCCTGTGCGTCTCAAGCCAGCAGAAAAAACACAGAGCAACAATCACCCCTCAAGACGACCTGGCTTTGTACGTAATCACGATCTCTCAGCCCTCAATGTACAGTCAAAGACCATTCTCACACTATGTGGCTACCCAGTGCCACTAGGCATGATCAGAAGAGAGCTCTCCTCCTCTTCTGATACTCAAAATGATCCCCTGCATTGGCAGCAGCCTTACCTGACACATTTAAGATGGAGGGGGAGATGTCTGGAAGCCCCACTCTAGAGTCTCCCATCCACCAGACAATTGTCACTGGTTCAGGGGGACCAACAGCAGCACAGACCATATGAAATGGGGCATTAGGGGACACGGACACATCCTCAGGTTCCACAGTAAAGTAGGGCACACCTAGAAAAGCAACAGACAAATGATAACAACTGGAGAGACTCCTTCTGCCTCTTGTTTATTTCCACTAATACCAGTGCCCAACACTGGACACCCACCTGCCCTGCCTCTATGCCTAATCCAACTCCCTCCAAGCCCTTCACAAGAACCAAGGGTCAGATACGCTGGATCACCTCAGGGCACGAATATCTACACATGCTCACTAGAAGAAGTCAGAGAGAAGAGTGCTTGCTTCCCAAAATGCCTATGAAAAACCTTTTTCACTGAGTCTCCTACAAAGCAGGTTTTAGTGGCAGTATTTGCTTAATTTTTCAGCTGGAGAGATTGGAGTTTAAAGAGGCAACAGTCAATAACTTTAGCGGTGGCAGACACCACTTTAAAAGATACCTAATCCAGCTGCAGATATGTCTTGTTACGCATTAAAAACTGAAGCTTGTGAACGTGTGTTGAACTAGTGGCTGTAACAAACCCGAGAATGAGGAAAGAATCCCCCAGGTGAAAGACTGGGATCATTTACAATGCTCTCTCCACAGCTTAATTGACTGGAGCCACCCTCCAGCACGCTCCGACACCACGAGAACCAGACTGTCGTGTAGTTAGGGGTAATTTGTTTCAGAGCTGAAGGCTATCCATGGACACAGCTCTCTTGATAACTATCTGTTCCCCACCGTGGAAAGACTCCTGCTTGGTAAAACAGGCCTTAGATCAGGTCCACAGGGAGCAAAACGCAGCTGCAATGCTAACTACCCCAGGTCATCTCTAAGTGGCAATAGCTGAGCATAACTCAACACATCAAGCGATGTGGTTCCTCTTATGGGCAATGCCAAAACTTTTGTGGTTTCAGTGCTCCAAACCAGTAATACAAAATTCACCAGCCATCAGCACCAGTGCTGACCCTACAGGACAGCCGGCATGCCCTTCTGGTGGCCGGTGGAAGAGCTGAAGGTCCAGAGAAACACTGAGTTCCCTTTTATACTCAAAGCTTTGGGTGTCAAGCACAGCCGCTACTGACTGCGTCTACACCAAAATTAGTATTTTCAGCTGGAAAAAGTGTGTTCTGGAAACTGCTGATCTGCCTCCTCAAAGAAACAGAGGAACCAACAGCACTGTGCATTCACATGCTTAAATTACACTGTCTGTCCCTGGCCAAAGATGACAGGCCCGAGCAGCTCCAGTTGGTGTGGCAGATGCTGAGCACCTCCAACAGCAGGCAATTAATGTAGGTGCCTAAATAAGGATTTAGAAGCCTAAGGCTTGGCATTTCCCCTACACTCCAGCTGAAAGTGGTGTCCTTGGTCTTTCACTGACCATCCAGTTGCTGTTTGTGTCTTTCAGGTGGCAGTTTCTTTGTGCCTTCTTCGCCTCCTTGCCACTCCTTTAGAGTGGCAAGTAAATGAACAAACAGGTCTAAAAATAGGTCACTTCAGGAATGATGATGCCTATCTGTACAAAGGCTAATGCTCAGGACAGGTATATTCATCATCATGATTTACTGCTGGGTTTTGCTTACGTGTTTTACTTTTTTTTTTTATTGCAGTCATACATAAACAATAAAAGTGAATAAACTTTCCAGATACCAGCTGTGACATCTCCGCCTGCTTTGCCCTCCTTCTCCAAGGAAGATTGGAAGGGAAAATACCATCGTTTCTTCTAACTGTGAGCAGGATCCCTGCCCCCTGTCCCTTTGCTATGGCTCTCGAGGTAAGCTTTTTGGGAGGATCCTGCCCAGCTCAGCAGGTTTTCTCACTTTGGGAGCAGCTAACCAGATCAGACAAGACCACAATTAAAAACTCTCATAGTTTGAGGAGTGCAGCTGACTCATCCAGCTCAGGAACTTGCACTGCCCCCGTATGTATGTTACCTGGATACCTCACTGTCTGCGACACATTTAGCCTCCCAATTCCTGGTACAAGAGGCGAGTGCCGGCACCCCGCCTTTCACAGATGCATCGTGGAGGCACTGAGCAGCCAACAGCCATGAAATCAGTGGCAAAGCAAGGAAATGAGCCTGCCTATTCCCTGTTCCAAGCCGGCGTCCAGCCTACAGGGCCGATTTTTTTTTCTACAGCTCAGTTTTTAGACAGTGTTAATTCAGGGGGACGTGTCCATACAGGTGTGGCTGGGGGCGCGCGCTGGGCTAGCAGCCCCGGGAACAGCCGCACGGTCAGAGGTGTAATTTCAGAGGGAAAGTTCTGTAAGAAACATAATCCGGATTTTTCAGGTGGTCACACTCCGCAGTGTGCCTCTTAGATTACCTCTCCAGGCATTGAACGCTATCGTGTTCTCGGTTAGGCCAGAGTCTAGTTTCTAAACCAGAAAACATTTTCAAAATAATTTTGTTTTTGTAATTCTGAGGAGTGTTTCATAAGATCAAACATTTTAGCTGTATTACAAAGACAGTTCAAATACCTTTGCTACAAATTCTGCCTGATACAGACTACCTAAGTGGATCCCAAGGCAGATATTAGACAGCATAGAAATCCATTTGAGCTCACTTTAAGTTAGATCACCAGTAGCCCACACTTGTTTTGTGTGGCACACTGAAGGGTATCAGCACCTACTCTGGTCATTCACAGCCTTCAGTAAAGATTCTCTCTCAGTCAAAGAGGTCAACGGTTGTTACCAATACAGCAACCACTTCTAGACAAAGCTGGGATGCCCAGGGAAGAAATACATACAGCAATAACAGTGGAAGTGGGACTGATAGGCTTTTGCATTCCCTAGTGTTTTCTCATGCTAACAGCTGACACATTTTTAAAAATCCACCCCTTCTCGCTACTTGTTATTTTTTAATTTTTTCCACTAACTCCCATTTCACATGATTACATGCTCCGTTCAAGTTTAACTAGCTTCTGCCGTACTTGCTTTTCTCATAAAGGCAACTAGTTGCATTTTTAGTTACGCTTCCGCTGTAAGCTTTGGCCTTCATTCTCAACACCCCCCCTTACCTAGCTGCAGCTGGTTTTTGTGACTTTGATATTTCTTGCCTGTGCTATCCAGAAGGGCTCCTTTGTTTTTCAGATGGCTTAGCACACTGAGCTACCCAATCGCTCCTAACGCACCCACCATGCAAATGCAGCCACCTCTGGAGCGGGCCACTCCAGCGGACTGGAATAGAAATAGAAACCCTGCACAATAGAGAGCATTTTAAGCTGTAAACAACATTCTCCAGTTGAAGCTGCACCTGAAAATTTAGGTGGACAAAAGCCTGGGATTTATGGAAGGTAGCAGGTAAGCGTTCCTCTTCCCGTGAGAATGGCTATGAATGTTTCCACGGCTCTGAGTGAGTGAGATCTTTGCTGTAAAACACCCAGACCACACCACCTCCCACGACACCCTCCCCACTCCCCCTCTTTAAGACTGTCGATTCAGCTCTGGCCCAAAATGTTACCAATTACATCCAAAAAGCCACTTCTTGCTGCAAATGCACTGTTCCTGTCAACTTCCTCACCAAATATTAAGCCATCCTATGACTACTAGCTTCTGAGGCTCTAACACAATCATGGCTCAAGGAAAATGAAACTAGAGACAGTAAGAAGCCACCAACCCACGCTGCCTTGGGCAACTTTTGGGCAACCAGGTAGAAGTTATTCTTTATCAGACAAGACTGGGCAAAACAGCGCCACATGGAACAGTCACAGCTATGAAGCGCTGATGTACAGCACTTCTCCCGAAACTCAGAATTGGGCTAAAACTGTACCTTGCCTTCAAAGACCTGTTTGGCTAATACACAGAACCAGGCTGTGACCCTGCTTTTAGAATTGGGTTGCACCAGATGATCCCCATGGATCCCTTTCAACCTGAACCATCCCGTCATTCTACAAATTATTTGGAGACCAAAGCAACAACTGATGGAGGGGCTGGAAAGAGATGTGTGTGCATGAAAGGATCTTTCACTTGTTTCCTAATGTGCCAAAATAAAGCCAGAAGGTAATACACTGACAGCTCCTCTCCTACCGTTTCTTACTCCTGCTCTATAGTGATCTCACTGCAGTTAGCAGCAATGGTTCAGAGCCAAGAAGCCTGTCACTGGAGCAATCTGCTCTCACCACTTCCACCTAGAGCATATTGGTGGGTCAGCCCTGAAAAGAAACCAGCACTACTACTACTCCTTACCTTCCACTATGAGCCACACTTGCTGTGATTCTTCCTTCTTCCCCCCGTTCTCAACCTGGCACCAGTACTTCCCAGAATCTGTCCGCTCGACGGATTTCAAGCTGAAAAAAGTCAAAAGCCATATCGATATTTTACGTGGATAAAGCAGGTTTTTGCCCCAAAGGACCCTCCAGTGTTTGGCAAACCAGATGCTCGGACAACACCCACTGAGACGCAGCCAGCTCTGGGGAGGAGGGAACAGCTAGCCAGCACAAAGCGCGCGGCAAAACAGCGGAGACAGAAGGCTCCTCTCTAAAGTGGGTGGAGGGAATCCTCAGCAGAGCAGACAGCCTTCCTCCAAAACGTCATCACAGAAAACCCGTCATTTGTGTCCTTTGAGGATAGGAAGGGGTTGGTCATCTTGATCCTGAATTGTGACTCTAGCTAGCCTTCAAGAGAGACAGCTTGGCCCACAAAGTCTGAGCTAGCAGGAAACTCCAAATCACAAACCTCCAACGAGCCCGACTGTTTTGCCTCAGTTAGGTGACAGGACTGGTGACAGCCTCATACAGGAACAGATGGGTCAGAAAAGGCCCCCCCTTCACCTCAACTGCACTCAGCGTTATTCTTATCCCAAGAGCGCCTCGCACTGCAAAACTCCTTGGGCCTCTCATTTGGCGATTTCAAGGGGTTATGCTGGCCTACTCCAGCACAGGACTTCACCCTACGAACTCTTCTGTGCCCTCCCTTGCTCAGCAACAGCTCCCCTTCCAAGAAGATGCATCCAAGCGGGAGAAGGCAGCCACGGGGACTGAGCAGCATTCAAGTCGTAGTCCTCCAGTTCAGGGGAGAAATTCTGCTCCTTCCTCCACCGCTGGAAATCTGCGGTATCCTCACTGCTGTTAGCAACACGAGGCTAGCGCGGTGAGTAAGGGCAGAATTTGGTCCCAAAGCGACAAGGTCTCAGCTACCAAAGGCACCGGTGTGACTCTGAGCGCCTGTCAATGTACAAATGTCGACCACCCCCCGCGGGACATGCAGCCATGCGTCTGCTGCCATGCAGGGATCCTCAGCTGATCTGATGCCCACCTTTCTAACGCTAGCAGTCCGCCTTGGGGAAGGGGAAGAACATCTCAGGAAGGAAGACAGAAAAGGGCGAGTGTTTGCTGAAATGCACAAAATGGACCCCCTACAGCCTGACTGTCAGAGCTGTACCTTCAAATGGCATCAGCTGTCCTGCCCATCCAGCCGCATGTTCTGAAACACAGCGATCGCAGCAGAGAGTCACACAGTGGGTGGTAGAAATGATCACTTTAGGAGAAGAAAGGAAAAAGGAGAAAGAGATACGGACACATCTAGATTTAGCACCCTATACTTAGCCCTGGTGCTGCGGAAAGTTCTCCGTGGAGGAAAACAAGAGGTGAAAAAGGAGATCAGACTGAGAGACTGTGGGGGGCAAAGAGTCAACTAGGGGAACTGTGGGGAAGTAAACGGTATAGTTTCGAGACAAACTGTTTCTACAACATGATGTTATGCAATAGTTTTACTGGGAACAGATTTTTTTCCTGTCAAAATGTTTATTCCAGACAAGCTTTAGCACAGAGACTTTTAGTTGCTGGAATTGGAGACTCCATGCAATGTCAATCCAAGAAACCTAACAGCAGATGAAGCCAGAACTCAGGGAAGAGTGATTCTCAGTCAGTCAACAGTTTTGAGCCCTCACGGTGATGGCACGCTTGCTTGTACAAGCTCTCTTTATGCATAGAAAAAGCCAGAGCAGAACCTTGGGTCTTGTTTAACTCAGTACGTCCAGAACTAGCTGACATCCCCCTTCTGCTGAAATAAAGGCACAGAAAGCTGCTTTGCAGAAGAGAGTTTTTGCGCCTCTGAGCAGGGACTGATACCATGTAGTGAAAATGTATTAGGAAAGTCTCTGCAAAATGACTCAGGGATGGTTGAGGTGACAAACACTCCTCCCCAAAGGAAGAGGATGTAGTCCTGGGAGTCTCATTTCAATTAACAATCCTCACCCTTTAGGCAGGCTGACGGCTCAAGAGAGAGAAAGAGAACGGAATGAGTATGAGAGAGAAAACCTATTTACATGTCAGACCTTAGTCTTCCCGCTGCATGGCAGAACAAGATGAGCAAACAAGGCAAGAACATCCTTTCACCTTGAAGTCACGTCTCAAGCATCACAAGCATTAGCAAAGCACCTGTCACCACAGTAGTCAGGAAACCGATACGGTTCTAGTGCATAAAACCTCAACCCTCAGTGGCTTCGATTCTGCTCTCAGTTATGGCCTTGCCACGCACTGAACTGCAGACCTAAGGACCCTGCCCCACCGAGGGCACTGCAGTTGCATAGATATAGCTGACAGCAGAAAACGGTGCAATGATTTCCGCGATAATTCTTCCTTCTCTGCATCTGTTGTACCTGAGGAAGCCGATCCAGTGTTCTTCATCTACTGGAATGTACACCTGGTCTACGCTTTGCACCACTGCTCCGTCCTTGATCCACAACATCTCAGGATCTTCCATTCCCTCGAGGCTGCAATTTAGTTTGACGGGTTGACCCTGGGACACCTTTAATTTGATTGGAGATCCTGTAAATTTCATACCTAAAAAAAAAATACTACTCCGCCCCACCCCCAGAAGAAGGGGGGTTGGAGTACAGCAAATTACTCTGGGTTGGTGGTCTGGAATTACATACCCTACCAGCACACACTGCAGAGGGGTCTGTTAGTCTCGGCACTGCTCTACTATGTCTGCTAAGTAATAGTCAAAGGCAAGCACTGAAAGCACCATCGCTGGAGAAAAGTGGTGGCTCAGTCCGTACATGGGGCTTTTTTCAACTCCTGTAACAGCAAGGTGAGCTTCTGCAGAGCAGTGCCCAGGCAGAGCCAGACAGAAATGCTGGGAGCTTCGTCGTGTCGGTGATCCACCAGTGCTGAGCGCATTTGCTCAACACGGTACCACACCTCCCTCTTTCCCCCAGGCTTGAATTTCAGCTACAGTGTTCCTGTGCTGCTAAGAAATCATCGTGCTTGCTCCATTGTATGCATTTGTAAAGAGCTGGGATACAAGAAAGAATCAATTATGTCTCGTTATTCAGCATACACTGTTCCTCTGCATTACAGAAAGCTTCTCTGCAATTTGCAAAACCCGTGAAAGCAAAGCCTATTCCACAGCATACCTCGCTGAGAAGCAGAACTGTTTACAGAACAGATATTTCTGTCGCGTGATGGCGGCATGTGCCTACCCTTCAGTCCAGCCAAAGGACCATGTTATACTCAGGGGTATATAGTTACGACCCCGAAGCAGGAGGGCCAGAGTCAGTGGAGCTGCTCAGGTTTACATTGACACAGAAGTGATCAGAATTCAGCCCAGAGCGCTGTTACATGTGTGGGTGGATGGGGAGCGTCTCCCTCAAGCAGAAGCGAATATATGGAATGTGTTACCATGAGAAAACACGGAAGCCAGCTATATAAGCGCATTTAAGAAAGAAAGGCATATAAAGGATGAACCAGAGGATCAAAGGAGACCGTGGGAAAGCAAGAAGGTGGGAAATAAACGTAAAGCTAGTTTTGTTAGGGAGGGTGGCCATTCCTGTGCAGTGGCACAGGACTGACAGACCAGAACAGGTCTCGCCTAGTTCAGTATTATGCCCCGGCAGTGGCCTCCACATCCTTCAGAAACAAATGACTCCATCCCTCTGCCGTTCTTGCGCAGCCACGTATCACAATACATTACAACTTCACCCAGTTCACCGGCTGGTCAGCTTCTCACAGGACGCCTCACTAGCCTACAGAGCCAGACAGAAAAATGCCAGTTGTAAAATCCAGAGCGCTGCTAAGTAAGCAGCCCTGTTGCTCTCGACCTCTTGTTACAGCCTGACGGGTGATCAAATACAGGGATTTCTCATGCGCCACTTCCCTTCTTGCCAACACGCCACCCTCCCACAGCCACGAGGGCACCACCTCACAGGGCAGAGCAACAGCGGAGGGACTCGCAGCACGGCTGTAACAGCTGGAGGAAGGGGAAGCCAGCAGCGTGGGACCAGCCGGCGCTCTGCCACCGGCAGCCGGTACCCAGCAGAGCACCAGTGGTCCGGGAGCAATCCCAAAACATAGGCAGGAGGACTTTACTCCTTTCCTTAAGGAGATCCCCCAGCCTAGTAACAGCTGATTTCCCACACTCAGTCTTTTGCCTTTCTATCTGCTGTTATTAATTTAGCAAATTCACAGAGAGCATTGGAAAACTGGTAAGATGATCGTTTTAGTTTAGTTGCTACACCTCGTTTGCTGGGCTAAGGATTTAATCACCTTGGGTGAGGATGATCTAACCTCGCATTACTTAACTCATCTGCAACACAAGTTGCATGTCCCAGTGCATGCCAGAAAGCGTCCTCCCTTTCACCACTCACAATATTGGAATAAAACATGCAAGCTTCATAGCAGCTCTTTCCGTGTTACAGAAAACTGATGTAGCCAGGCTGCTGAACACACACACAAATTGACAGACACTTTCATTACAGGTGCCTTCATGGAAAAGCAAACTACTCAGCTTTCCTCAGACTGCCCTGCTGAAAGAGTTAGCTACAAATTAAACAAAGAAGTGTTTTTAGAGACCCTTTATGGTTTTCAGTTCCCATTCAAATTCATGATGTAGGAAATTAATATATAGTACAAGTGTTCAGCCTGAGTTGTAGTTCTCCACTTTGCCCAAGTATAATCTCTCCGTCAAGATCAACTGAAATGAAGAAATACACACCAGGGATTTTTAATAAATTCACAGATTTTTGAAAAAAATCCAGCTTTAACTGCAGCATCTCTTCCTGCAGGTATCAGGAAAAAGCACATAGGAGGCCAATATGGATATTAATTTCCACCTATTCCTCCTTCTACTCTCCCACTCACGATTTCCCATCTGATAACATTCTTGCCAGCGCAGAAAATAATCTCATCCAAATAGGTTCCTCCAAGCCTACCTGTAAGAGCTGCAGGAGTTGAAATGTATAGCTAGGAAATAAAATTATATTAAATTTCTTACCAACCAGTTGTCAGGCAGAATTGACAGCACATGAACATACCAGTTGTCAAAATATGTGACATATTTGTTTGTTGTTTTGTTTTTGTTTTTAAACTTGCCACCTCTGAGTATTTTGATTCCTAGGAACAGAAGTATGCTTTTTGTGAAGTTATTTTGGGAGTGGAGAGAGAGGAAGATGTCTACCCGTGCATGCCAAGGGAAAGATTTTTTCGCCCCTCAGATTCCGTAGGACCCTGACCTAGCCATCCACCCTGCATCACAGCCTCTCCAGCTCAGCGCCACCGCACTCACGGTGCTCCGCACGGGGCGCGGAGCCCACACTCCCGGGGAAGTCGGCGGGAGGTTCGCCTGGGCGCCGGGAGGCTCTCACACGCTGCCTTTCCCTGCCGACTCGGGGGTGAAACTTCGGAAAATGAGTTCAGGAGGGAAAAACCAACAAAAGCCACTCAGGAATGCGTTAGCGCCCGGCTTTCCTCGGCGGCGATCCGCGCTAGGCAAATACCAGAGCAATGCCTCCGCAAACAACGAGGAGGATTATTTGGGCTGCGACTTACTACTCTGTACTTGCAGGCGGGCGGGCGAGGCTCGCAGCACCCCGCACAGC